TTCACATGCAGAGCACATCAGCTCTCTGACTCAGGTGTATGAAACGACACCAGCAAAATGTGAAATAGGGGCTTTGCCCAAAGACAGCAGTGGAAATGTTTTGATTTTGCTAATGTGATGTCGTGTTTAATAGTGGAGGGGGGTGGGGAATGAACTACTGCTGCTTACTACAACCTGCACTACAAAAGCACTACATCGTACCAAGTATCTGTGTCTAGTTTCTCGGGCAAATATTTTGGTACAATTGAAATAAGACAATTGTAAATATTACAACTAACAAGTAACAAGTGAACTAGAAACCAGACCCAAAATATTTGGTGAGATTTTGTATTTTTGCAATGTAATGTTCTCCTTCCAGAGACAGTACACTTAGCCTCATCTCTCTCCCAGATGGAGCTTTTGCCTGAGCTTTTACTGTGACTAACCCTATGTGTCCTCTTTCATCTGGCTCAGAGTTTATCTCTTTAGCTGCATTTCTCAACTACATGAAGTCCCTAACAGAGCTGCTGTTGACATTGGCGTTTTACTTTCCTTTTACATACAAACGAGATCAGCGAGTCGGAGGGATTCCTGCGTTGTCGGTGACTCAATGCCAGCAACTGTCTCCCCGTCAGTACATCCTCGTCCAGGAGACGTCAGAGAGTCGATGCGATCCGCCGGGGCTCCTTAGACAACACACTGTTAGGCCGATTTATATAATAAACTGAACTTGGCTGCATTGTTTGATAATTATGAGAAAATGAAACGCATATACGGCTGCACTCACACACAAGGTCTTGATGTTCATTTTCCGATTTTTTGCTGAAATCAGATTTTTGACTTTGTTGCTTGGTCATTCGTGCTACTAATTCATTCCAGCACAGACGGGTGTGCATTTATGGATTTTAGAGTTTATTCGCCAACGAAAACCGACAGCATCGTCGCTGCGGCCTGTTGGGGAGCACCGGCTGCATCTTCTGAAGTCTGTTTCGATGCGTAGCCAGAGCCAGGAGCGGTGGGACTGTGATGTGATGCACTGACTTCCTCCATAAGTTCATTATCATGATCTGCAGGGGTCATTTGCGTCCCGATCCGCCGCATCCGGCTTTCTCCTGGTACATACTTAGGACGCATGTTGCATGTCAGAGACGTGAAAAGGTCAGAAAAAATGCAACATGATCGTTCACACTGCAGATGCAGACGACGTGTTACCGCTTATGAAGTGGCACATATTGGATTTTTTTGTTTTGGGGTGCTGAAAATATTATCTGTTCACATATAGAGCAAAAAAAAAAAAAGTTCACACAGCATTTGCCTGCTGTGTGAACGTAGCGCAGCTCACTTGTTTTGTAAATAGGCAAACTGAGTTGGACTGAATTATTAAAACTGATGTACAGACAGGTAAAGCTGAGACATTTACTGAGAGCCACATATCTCCATACGTCATTGAAACGCGTGGCAGACACATATTTCTGTGTTGGAGGAATAAATTCACCACCGGAAGCACAGAGACAGAGACACGCCTTCAGCTCAGCCCTGTATAGATCATCACAAACTCTCAACACTCTGTGCATTGAACAGCTTGCAGAAATGGCCTTGTTAATTAGGCTGATTTAAGAAAAAAGATGCTGACCGGTGACGTCGTCTCCGACATGAATCCTAATGACGTCCACAACTGAGCTGAGCTTAAAATCAGTGTACCATAAGGCAGTTCCAATGTTCAACATGTTATAGTCGAGGGTTGTGGTTTTTTTTTGTCTGTCGGGTCGTTAGGGGTCGAACAATTTGCAAAACTGACACAGGACGCCATGATCAATCTGGAGATTGTAGATAAGGACAGTAAAACCAGCCAAGAACAGCATTTTCCTCTTATCGCGAGTACACCTTGCCCTCCTGCCTCAGGTACACCCAATTAAGCCGGGAGAGGGGAGAGGACACGCCAGCAGCCACTTCAGGTTGAGGACGCCTGTCAGCCGACTCCAAACAAACCCTTGCCCTGCCGACAGCGTGCGGGGAGGCCGTTAAGTACAGGAAGCCACAGAGAAGGAGTCAAAGCACGTCGGATTCTCGCGGCAGGCCCAGCGTTGTAACGTATGGCCCCGAAAAACTGAATGTAGGAAAAACCGGAGTTCGAGAGTCATAAATAACGTGCACTCTGCTGAATGACGGGCAATTATCTGGATTACCTACTGCTGACTGAGCTACGGAAAGCGAGCAAGGACAAACGGACCCTGCCCTGGCTTCACTCCCTCTCATCGCTTCTTTAATTCCTTACTACTTTATGTCGTCTTTCTCCACCTTCAGCTCACGTTGTGGGACCGCGCCACAGTACAGCAAGAAGAAAAGAAGGCAAAAAACCAAGAGGGGTCAGGTCGAGGTCGAGTCTCAAGTCACCGCTGACTAACACAAGCATTCCCTCAAATTAATGAATCCAAATCATTCATTTAAGGTTTCATCTTCATATGGAGCAAACAGTCATTTAGTGGCATTTTTTTGAGAGCGCAATCCATCACTGAGAAACCTGTTATAAATGGTTGCACATTTTTTTTAACCTTAACCGAAGCACATTTACCCAATTATAAATAAAACATAGATTTATGCAAAAAAACAAAACAATAAAAAAGCCAAACACAAGATTTACATTTGAACTTATATTTGCCTTGAAGAGGAGGGGCTTTCATTTTGAAGAACTGCAACTCAGTAATGGCACCATAATCCAGATATTTATATAATATCGGCGAAACCGGATTAAAACTTTTAATCGCGTTTGTGATTAAAGTTTAATAATTAATGGCAACTTAATTGAGAACTAGATGGACAAAACAAGCAACTTCTTTCATTCAAAAATCCTTTTCTTCTGCCACATTATTGAATAAATAGACACATGAGCTCAACAACAAAGACATTTATAGTGTTTAATCTGTTATTTAGGTTTATTCACCCATCAGATTAGTGCAAAGTCCTACAATTCAGCTGTCATGTGTTTCAGGAACTCCTGATCGTAAGCAGCAATGTGTTTTGCATTGAAATTGTATTTAAGACTCAAATAAGTTTTTTCTACAACTTGAACACAACAATAGTCTTTTTCGCTGTCCCATCAGATCATTGGATTTTTAAGCAAAAATTAACCCACAGTGGGTCAAAAGAAACAGCTTTGTCATCTTTCACTGTTTTCTGGTGCATCGAATTTACAGGCGTACCAGAAACACGCAAATACAAAGGTTCTGGTCGGAACCTTTTGTATTTGGCCCTTAAAAGTAACAAACAAACAAGAAACAGGATTCATTGCATTAAGATTTTAAACATGAGGTGATGACGTCGAATCCCAGACCAAGAGTTTCAAACAAGCGAGGAAGCCGGCGTGGCTCTGGCCTTCGCAGGTCTGAGACCAGAGTCACCGCCTCTGGTAGCAGATGGTGTCCAAAACCAACACCACAAATTAAAGCAAACGTTGATATTTTTGTGGCTTCCTGTTGCTTTTCTCCTCACTGAGTCCTGGCTGCATTTGAAAAAAAAACCCAAAACAACAACACCCAAACAGGAACACAGAACACTGTTGCCAGCTCAGCAATGAAATATTGATCACACAGCTTCACTGTGCTGTGTATATTCACTTCCTCCACCAGCAAGCAAAGTGTATCCCAGCTGCACACACACACACACACACACGTAAAGCCCCCCTCAAGGGCCTAATCTAAACTGCAGCTTTATGCTCCTGTTCCCCTGCTGACTCTTTGATGTTCCCCAGACCAGACTCCAGCGTCTGGGTATCTGTCTCCCACTCCCGACTGATGCTGTCGGATCGAGGCCTGTTGCAATGAGCAGCATATTATTTCCATCTCCTGATCAACTAAGGCAAACCCTACAATCTCCATTTGCGTGATTTATTTATTTTTATTCTGTCTATCAGGCAAAAAACCTGGATGACGAAAGTCTTCAGTCTGTTGCACAATTTTGTAATTCCTTTTATTTGTTGTTTCTGTTGGTTTCTTTATTCACTTTGGATTTTTAAAATGTCTCCCAATGTTAAATGCTCAGGAGAATTTCAAGTCGATTGAAGAAGACTGAGAATTATTGCATTTATTGTGCCACTACCGTTATATTGCATGACAATGGTCTCAAAACAACAATATTATTGATTATCGCAATAACTTCTGTGGCAATTTATGGTCCAGCAAAATGAGTCGTTGTGACTCGGCGGCGGTCACCTCAACCCGCCACCAGTCGAGGACAGTTCAGCCAGATTCCCCGCTTTTGTTTGGACAATCTGGACAATGTGCCGCCGACGCGTACAAAAGGTGCATCGGCAGAAAACAAAGCGCTGGGAGAGAACGAGCGCCCGGTGCGGTGAGCTGGACGACGCACAATCACGCCAGAGAGAAACAAAAGGCAGAACAGCAGATGGACTTTCACATTCAGGGGACAAAGAGTGTCAGGAAGCCGGCAGTGACTGCACCACAGAGACCGCTGTAGCAGGATGGGAGGGGGAAGAGATCCATCCGCCCTTTATTTAGTCTAAACCGAGATGGGGTCCATTAAAGTTGCAAAGACTCAAAGAAAAAAGAAAACGATGCTCCCTCTCGGCTTGTTATTGAGTACTATTGGAGTCAAAAGGGGGTAAATTGACTAAGTAGGTCGAAGCGAAGAGCATGCAGAGAAAATATGCTAAACTGAAATTCTGATTGGCCACATGGGTGTGTGGATGTTGCTTTCATAATTGCCTTCGCTTGATGCTTCTCCCCTCATTTTCAACATTTGCTGTGACATTCACTGAGATTGAGAGGGGGGAGGAGGGGAACAGCTTCCCAGTGATGCAAATGGTGTTTGTGGCTCGGTTAAACGTACCCCCTGCGCCCCCGCACACACACACACACACCCACCCACCTACCCCGACCCCAACCGAGACGAAGCATCTGAGAGCGGTTCCCTTCACAACAGCACAAACGGCAACTACGCCGGCGCAGTCAGAGTCAACACACAGATGGCTTTGAGTCACGTGAGTGAGCGGCGGCACTACTTACCACGCTTGCTGGACAGGGTGGTATCTGTGACACAGAAAGAGGTTGGGGAGGAGGGTTAGGGGAGGAGACAAAACAGAGAGAGAGAGAGAGATGATTAGAACATAATAGGTTTCAGGGAAAGTGGCACTGCAATGTTAAAGACACAAGTAAACAAGGGGAGCCAGCAGATAAACTCCTGAAGATTAATGGAAAGTCAGAAACAGTAGCAGGACAAGGGATGTAAATGCAACGTAAAGTAAAGCCACGACTGAGGAAACTTTGCTGTTACATCCATGCAGTCCTACATGTGTCAAGGCAACATCATTTAAAAACAGGATTCAAGTCTGTTTTCTTTCCTTCTTCTTTTTTGCCTTATTTTTTTGTATCATCGCCTCCGGCATCAAAATTCATCTTTATCTTCAAACACCTGATGTGATGTCTGTGTTGTCTCTAATGTTTTATCAATAAAAAAAACCCAAACACCTTCAGAGAATCGCACGCTACCGTCTGCGCACACAATTGCAACAGGTTACAGTTTCTTGCAGTGCCGCTCGCAACCCTCGTTTACTTTTTCCACATTTGGTTGTTTGGCAGCGGCAAACTTTTTAAAGATATTTTATCCGAATGCTATCCGACAAACACAAAGCGGTGCAGAGTCCTCAATGGGAGGGAAAACGAAACGTGGTTTTCAACGTTTTTTTGACACAAAAATATAGCACGTATTTGTGTTGACATGTTTCTGTAGTGATGAGCGTTTCCCTTGCATCAGAAGCTTTTGTCAGCTGAGAGTGAAAAGAAACTTTTTGAATTATGTGAAACAGTGTTTGGTTGTGAAAGGCTAAAGGATCATGCAGTGTTTCCTTTTCACCACTTTGTTTTGGACTACCTTTGCGGTTGATCTATCCTGTCCAGAGCGTTTTTCTGATTTCGATTAAAAGATAAAAACGATTTATCGCCAACATTATGTGGCACGATCACTGCACTGCAACTTGTGCAAGAACTATTTAATATCGCAGCAAAGACTCAGCAGTGTGACTTAAGATCATCTACAGCTGGCTGATTCTCTCACCTCGGCATCCTGAGAGCCTGGAGTGGCTCCAGCTGTAAGCAGCACGACCCGTTTCCAGGTTGATTCAGCAGATTCCTTTGTAACTACTAAACATATTCAATAATCAGGAAACCCGTCAAAAAAAAAAAAAAAATGACATCACCCCACAGGTAGCAGTCTCAGGCCTTGAATTGGAGAATCAGAGTGTGCTCACCACATAAAAATATTGCACGAGAAAGTTTCACAGGCAAAGTATAAAGAGCAGTTTAATGTCCCCCGTTCCTTAAGAAGACGTCCCTTTTAATTAGAAACTTTGAAACGACGTAAAACTTGAAAGGACACTATTGAATATAAAGTATATAAAGCAAATTAGAGGAGGTTTTGTTGGAAATGTCTGCTGAATTATCCACGTTTTAATTTAATTAAGGCATGCTCCCACAAACCGAATATCGTCAACGAATATCTCTACAACATTCTTTTGTAGTTTTTATTTTCTTTTTTTAATTCTTTCAGAGCTAGCTATGATACGCAGGGAAGCCAGAGGTTCATACTTCTTCACCTCAGCAGTTTACTATACCAACAACTCAGGAGCCGCTTTTTGCTTACTCCATGCAAAGTTTTTTGACATCTTGAGAGAGGAAAAAAATAAAAGAAAAGCGTAGCACATTTTAAACAATCGTTTTGCTTTCGGCCGTCTATTCCCCTTTCCCGTGTTTAAAGACACCGCGGTCCATCCCAACACAACTCAGCTTCGCACATGTTCAATTATTCATCTCCCTCTGTCAAGAATTCAGCCGTCCCAGCACTTGCCAGCATCCCCAACACATTGGCAGGCAGGACGGCTCATATTTGGCATATGGTGCAGCGCGGGGCTGCTCATCCCTCCCTCCCTCCCTTGGCCTCCTAGTACATACAAGGAGAACGGCGGCGGAAGCCAGCGAGCGCGTGTACAGCCATCAGTACACTTAAAAACTCCGCTCACCCCCTCGCTGAGTCGCTGGGCATCTGCCCAGAAAGCCCCTTCGCAACAGGTTTCAAGGTATTCAGCAGATACAAAAAAACAACAGCGAACAGCTAAAGACTGCAGCGCCGAAGAAAATACAGAACATTTCAGATTGGGAAGAGGTAAACTGGGCCGGGTCTGCACAAAAATCCACATCTTTATTCCTGTGCTGAATGATGCTACACGTGTGTCTCGGCACCTCGCTTGTAAATTTGGGATCATATTTATAACAACAAGGCAGGGCAAGTGTATTTGTATAGCACGTTTCAGCAACGAGGCAGGTCAAAGTGCTTTACATTATAAAACCATAAAACAACCGACAAATATTAGATTTCAGGGGGATAATAAAAGATGGCCTACATACCAAAAGTAATGATGTTTCAGTAAATAGTAGGAATCAAAAGCAACTCTAAACAAACGGGGGTTTCAGCCTCCAGTTTTCTTTAAGTTTGTTCCAGACTAGAGGAGAGTGAAAACCGAATGCAGCAGTGATTTGGATCAGCTTAGTTGACATTTCAGACAGATCGGCGAAGGTGCTGTTGCAGTAATTAATTTGCCCACAAATGCATGAATGAGTTTCTGAAGATCTCGTTGGAACATCAGTTCTTTAACCCTAGAAATGTTCTCGAGATGATAGAAGGCCGACTTTGTAATCATCTTTATGTGTCTCTGAAGGCTCAGAGTCCATCATTCCACCCAGCTTTCGGGCCTGACCTGTACCTAGCTGTAATAACTGAAGCCGACTTTGGTCCAAACATAATAATAACTTCAGTTTACTTTTAAGTCAGCTGAATGAAAGCAACATTTGGCGCACAGCGAGTCACGTGTCGCCCAATCCACGAGATCGCTGAGCTGACTTGCCACTTACATTTTCCTTTAAAAAATTCCTTTTTAAAGGAATTTTAAAAAGCATTACTTGCCTATTAATGCTTTGACTGCAACATCCTGCTGCTGTCAAGTTACATAGATGCAGGTACATAAAGAAAAAGAGGTTCAGGAAATATTGGTGGGACATGTCCACACCGGTCCTACGGTTCAACTTGGCTTTAACTATCAAGTAATATATGAAGGAGTTTGACCATTTAAGGCCCAGAATGCTCAAGTCTAACTAAATCTCTCACTGAAAGTCCAACATTATTGAGATAGGAGAGAAGTAAACTCCTCTGTTTGATCTCCTGGTTAAAAGTCTTTCTGCCAGAGAGTTTTGAATCAACTGAAATTTTGTTGACGCAAATGAGAAACTCAGCATTTCTCTAAATCTAGAGACAAATTCTGAGAAGCTTAGTTTGGTGACTTTCAGGAGAGACTGGTTGAAAAGACCAATCTCTCCATTGGGTCTGATTTTCAAGTTCAAAAGTCCTGCATGTTGCCTGATCAGACGAACTTGGAAAAAGAAAACAATCAGAGCTCCAAAGAAGTTCTGGGGCTATTTTTAAAATATGCGATTTCTTTTCCCACATGCAAATCAACTGGTTTGAAAAACTCCGAAGTTTTTGAAGGAGCAGTGGAGCTTAATGTGATTTGCATAAAAGCAATGAGATAATATGAAACTAAAGTGTCCAAAATTGAAGCTTCTACTTGTAAGCTCTAATTCAATCTAAAAGCTGCAGAGCTTGGTCAGCTAATGGTGTGAGCGACGGACTCAAAGCCACAGAATGGTCCTTCAAGACTAAAATCATCAGCCTCCACGGCCTCTGCGGCGTCACTGCACTCTGAAAGCAGAGCGGTTTTTGTCAAACACATTTCACACAAAACTATTTGGCAGAAAAATTTCAATGATGTTCATATGATTTAGTTTTGTGCAACAGACCGGCCACCTGTCCAGGGTGTGACCCCGCCTCTCGCCCGACACTGGAGATCGGCACCAACGCCCTCCTGACCCCCACTGGGGGACAAGGGTGTTAGAAAATAGATGATTTAGTTTAAACATATTGCATCATTAGCATTTACAGTGCTAAGGCACATCAATTGAAAATGCACCAGCCTACCATATTGCATCCTGCACCATTTGTTTGGCGGATTGCATAAGTTAATATCACGGCGACGACCGCAGCACAAAACATTGTGCAGCTGTTGCTTTCTGTGAGTTTTGCAGAATGTTCCGGTTGTGGTGAGATGTAGCAACATGCAGTTTTTCATCATCTCCCATTGTAATCAAATGGTTGCCCTGAAGGCAGAAATGAGAGAATGCAGTTTTCATCAGATCCAGTTAAATTAATACACAGAACATTTTGGCATAGTGTACTTATTGGATTCTTGCCCTAAGCACACCAAGACCGTGGGTCAATAACCTCCCAGACAAAACCTTAGCATTATAAGCAAGGCAAATTTTAGCAAGTTAAACTTATTTATGTTGCATTTGCCCTCCAGTAAATTCATTTAAATTCCTAACCAATGCACCGCGTCCTTGTCCAGATCGGATTCATCCAGTTTCCTCTCAAATTAGCCTCACAAATTCAACGTATTTTTTTTAAAAAAGGAAACCATTGCAGTGAAAGGTATTAGTCAAAGCAAGTGATGTCTCAGACACCCACATTTCACAACCATGGCCACAATTAGTCATACTGTTTATCAAAAAGTTCTTAAAATGAAGGAAACTCTAATTATTTTTGCATTTTGCACCCTTTTGGAAATATATTCCCCATAAAGGCCAATCTTTTCCAGCCGTAGCAGCTGGTAGGGACACTGGTTCAAAAGTGAACAGAGGCTCAGCCGTTTACACGCCACCCACCCGATGAGTTCTGCTGTAGAAGACATCTTGTTGGAGTCCAAGCTGAGAATTAGAATATGTAGGAAAAGTGATTTAAAACATTTTACATATTTTGTTGCTATTATGCTGGCTGCTCTCACTATTTCATAAACTGTTGATCTTGTAAGACTTTCCTATGCAACCATCTCTCTGCTTCTATCGAGCTACAACTGTATAGATGACAAAGCCTTGTTAATGCCAGTGGTCAGACAGAAGCGGGCAGCCTGGTTTGAGACGACGAAAGG